AAAAATCTATTTTCATATTTATTTTGTTATTTCTAATTAATATTTTGTATTGATTGTAGAAATCTCCTAAATATGTTAATTTTCATAACTTCTGTGGTTGTGTTATTCACCGTTACAATACGTTTCTAGATTCATGAATCTGTTGGCTTACTTAATATTGCTATTAAGCACAAAATGTCCAGCTAAAAATTTCAAAAAAATAAAAATTGACTATTATTATTCTATATTTTACCAGCAAATAATTTGATAATATTAAAAAATTAACGAATATCAGTATATGTCACAGAAAGCTCTGATATCTACACACAATTCTTCAAGAAATGCGCAAAGTTAAATACCAGAAATCGGATACTGGACTATGGTCAGCTTTTATCTAAAAAATAGTTTAAGCCAAATTAAACTGAGGAATGTATCCATATTTAACATATAATTATACTCTTTTATTAAAAGCCTATACACAACCATATCTGAATAATATATAAAGGTGTTCTGCCTAGATCATTGAAATAATTATTTAGTTCTTAAATCGTTTGTTTGTATTACCACAAAGCTGCACACTGTATATTTGTATCTCTACACTACTTGGATCAAACGTCGAATTCTAGGGTTGTAATTACTGAAGCATAGCGTTCTGAGCGACAGGAGGAATATAATATCTTTTATCAAAGGTGCAGGTCTATCTTACATAAATATAACAAATAATATCAGTCAGTATAACTTACGTAAGTTATTTCAGCTTCAAGAAGTATAAACACCCAAATCCATCTTCACTCTTTTCAACTTTTTACTTTATGCGGTCAGCATTTGAATTCGAAAATTACCCTGTCTTTGAGATATTTCGATGGTCAGTATTAAAATACAGATTGTGAAATGAGAGAACAACAAAGGTAATCGAAACTGTGCAACATATTTTAGTAAGGTAGGGAGAGTTATTTTCTAGCACATGGTATACATAGAATAATATATTCACTGAAATTCACAACTGTCATCAAACCTACCCGTTAATCAAACGTGTAAGAAGAGAAACACATAACGTTCCTTGTATCGACATCAGTGACGTATTACAGTTCAAGTTGACATGGTAAAAGTTTAGCCTTGTACTTCTTCCTGCGTAATTGCTTTTGTGCAACAAGGTAAAGCTGAGCTCAGTTCCATATAAACACAGAAGAAAGATCAACGATCCTAACACTAGCCTCTATTTTTCATGTCACAAGCCTTCAGCTCGTTCCTCACGCTTAGGATTCAGAATGCCGCATTCTGTGACTAAGGGCGAGATTAGTCTGGTAAGAAAGACCAATGGGAGAACGGAAGCCTTAGCCAACGGGCAATATTAACAGCGTCAGGCTCCATAATGGCTGTACTACGTCATAAAGACGACAAGTAGCGTGGCTCTTTCACTCTTACAGACACTTCTTTGGGTTTTACGTTTTGGAAATGTTTATACATTTTCCTCACTTCTATAAACCCAACGTTGCTCACAAGTTTATTTCCCGCATACAGATAACTTTATCATGCTTTCAATAATATATAAGTGTCAGAAGAGCGACGCCCTCTGTGTGGGAGTATCATTCTAAAACTATTTTACTTAATTTTGATTTTCCATTTATTTATCCTTTTAGCACAAAACCCGCCAGTAATCGGAAAAGCTTAATGATATTCGTCTAACAGAACAAGCATAGTATAGGCAATCTTTCAACTATTGAACGTCTATCATCCTCAACCAAGGACTTGGGTCTGTCATAGATTTGACTGTATTCATTATTAGATTAGATACATTTCACAAATACTCATAAGAATTAAAACAATTACGTAAGGGACACACAACCTAAAACCGTATAATCATTCATTTCGAAAGTAGTATTATCGACTTGCGTACTTATAAAGGGTCTCCAATAATACAATGTAACATTTTTATTAGTTTATTGTTGATTACAAATCACTCTGGAATTGTCCCATATTCCATTTCATTTATTTGTTGATTCTACCTAAAATAGTCAGGAGTGTGAAGTCTATCGTATAACTCTTACTACTCTGTCATTAGGTTCGTTTCTTGTGTGCTTTCTTCTTCATGTTAAAATAAAACTATATGACAAGTTTTCGTGAAACGTTATTTTAACAAAGAGATAACTGGCAAGGCAACCATAAAACGATGCAGACGTTATCAAAACTAGTGAAAGTAAATAAAATGTCCGGAACGGTAGTGTTAAAAACGCATGTAAAAACGCATTCAAACAGATTTTAGTTGAAATAGCCAGTTTCGATAGACAACACCAAATTTATATTACCGACGGTAGCCCGTTTCATTACAGAGAATTCATTGCTACTGCGACTGTGAAAAATTTCAGCCTGCTCTATACATGAAAATGTCGAAAGAAAAATGGTAAGAGTAAACAAACCTTGAATAAGCCTGTTAATATAAGGAGCGACATAAAAACGCTCTTTAAAACCATATGAAAAGTTATCAATCATAGTAATGTTCTTTATACAACTTGGTGACAACAGCAGTTTTTGGGCCTCAGCTTCGTTCGTGTTCTTCTCAATTTCTTTGGCCAACTTTTGTATTTTTGCTTCATTTTCCTCGAATGCAACGAAGCTTTAGTTGTGAAATATTATATTACTGATTTTAAATACACGAGTATTTTTACAATTAATTATTTTTCTTTTCACATGTCCTAACACTAAACGTTGAATGATATACGGAATGTAAAACTTTAAAATCACATACTTTCTTTATAAACTTAATTTTCTGAACTTCTTAAAACATATTCATTGATGTACCTTATATTTTAAAATATATTTGAACATACAAAATATTTCTTTACATAATTAAGTTCAGAGTACTGAAAGAAAGTTCACACGTTGATTCATGGGGCAAATGAGTGAGAAGAAAAAATGTTTAAAGTTCGAATCTTAGGTAGTTCTGGAAGTACAAAAGTGTTAATATTTTAATTAATTCTGTACAGTGCAATAAAACAGAACGAAATTGTAAGCCAATTAGGATTACTAATAAAAGTTTAATCGTTTTTATTTTGAATTACTGAATAATAGGAGCACCTGTATAATATAAATATAATAATATAAATAATATAATAGAAATTATAGATTACTAAATGGTTTATTTGTCAAAAAGTAACAAATAACATTTAAATTTCTCTTTATTGCTATGTTTTTTGTTTCACATTTCATTCAAAGTGTTCTATATGATTTAGCAAAGTTTGTGTTACCGACACCATTTCGCTCCCAGTGGCTCAGCGGTAAGCCTGCGAACTTATAACACTAAAAATCGAGGTTTGATACCCGTGGTGGGCACAGCAAAAGATAGCCTATCGTGTAGCTTTGTTTTCAACAAGAAACAATCAACAAATCGATACAATTTTCTACTTGACAGTAGTTGTTTTTGTTAAAGAACGCCAATTGTCACGAAGGTGAATAATATATTATATTCCAGCTTTACAAAACATTTGTGCGTTTATGAAGATAACGTCTTTACAATTTTCAAATTACAATAATTAAATGAAAGTTTTTATTTACTTCTATAGACAAATTGTCTGTTTATGAAAGAACAATGTCTACAAGTCACAAGCTCTGCTTCAACTATTTAATATTCTTGTTTGTTTGGAAAACCAACAGTAATTTACAATTCAAGTTTTGACCAGTACAAAATTTATAAAATGGCATTTTATTTATTTCTTCTCATGCAGGTAGCTGTAGAGTTAATGTAAGTAACACAGATTGTTCTTGTCGAAACGTTGTACATTTGCTGTTATGTTAAACTTATATTAAAGTTTTTCTTCATTACCCATTCAAGCCGTCTCCAGCCATTATTAGTCTCAAATTGGGTTCCTCGTCATCGAATAGTTCACCTGTATATACTTGGCTCCTGAAATTAATTTGGGAACTACAATTCTGTTTCTTAATATGACATCCAATCGTAATTTATTTATATTACATTGGGGATTAGATTACTTTTAAAACCTATAGCTCAAACTACAAACAAACTATAAACCACCTAGCTGTGGAGTGATAAATTCGTTTCTGCCAAAGTTTCTAAAAGAAATATCAGTGTAAGGTTTTATTTGCAATTATTTCAGACGAAGGAAATTATTTGTGATAAGAATTCAGTACTTAT